GAGCCAGAAGGAAAATATGAGGACATTCGGGACTCGTCAGTCTTGACTTTTGTTTCCTTTTACGGTTCTTTTTTTTCCTTGATTTTGCGGGAAAGTTGGCCTGTGTGATGGCAGGGGAGAGGGGAGCAGGGGCGAGGAAGATGCAGAGGAGGAGGCGGGGGAGGAAAGGAGGAGGACGGAAGGAGGTGGATATATGTAGACAAAGAGGAAGAGGGTCCGAATGCTTGTATGTTGTGACTGGTACATGCTCATGGCTGAACGCTGTGGAAGTTCCTCAAGGTGGCAGGAGCAAGGGTCGCAACGAACAAGAATGCAGGGATAGTGGGAGATTCCCCTTCCCGTCATGGCGTTGGAAACTTGGTCCATGCACTGTCGCCTCTCTTGCTGCGCCTCGTGACAATGTGTTGCAGGAAGCTGCTACGTGTGACCTTCGCTGTGCGCGCAGTACAGATCCTGATCTCTGTGCCCATGCTAGACGAACAACTCGGATCGCTGACAGATGCCCTTAGGTGGCGTCTCATACTTTGCTGGGAGACTATGACACCTCGACCATGCTCTTGTAACCCTCTGTTCGTTCAGAAGGCTCGAAGTGGCTCTGAAGCATGCAAAGGTACCCCGAAGAAGCAGCAGGAGGTGGCAGCGGCTTCTGCGATGCCTTGCGAGTTCTCGCGACAACTTTCGATCACTGGGATTCTGTGCATCTCATGGTTCAAGTCTCGGTGGTTGTGCATGCAGATTGAGTTGACGACAGGGCGTCGCCGAGCATGGCTACGTGTATGAACACAATCATGCCTTCTACCCTGCCGTCCCGTTCGTTGCCTCCTGGATATCCAAGGTAGGGATCTGACATCGAGTTGAAGTGTTCTGATGTCATACCACAGTTAGGAGGTGAGTAAGAGCGGCGAGTTTGGGATCGAGCATGTAACTCTCAACAGCTGGAGGTTGCGACGATCGCACAGTCTTGATCGTTGGATGTCTGCTGCTGAACAACTTGTTGTTCTCTGGAGCCGGTAGCTCGGATCCTTGCTGCAAGGCTGTGACTGGACTCACTCGAGCTGTCTGCAGTCGTTGTCATGCATTTCTTGTCTCTTAAGGTGCTTCGATCAGAGAGTGACGCTAGGAATGTGAGCAAAATCCTCTCTGTCTCTCCCCTCCCTTTCGGAGGATGAAGTTGGTTCGCAGGCAGCAGTCTTCTTCATACTGCAAGTATGTTGGTTCAAACCAGGTAGTGAAGGAAAAACGATCTGACGCAATAGTTTCAGCCCTCTTCGATCTTCACGCTGGCTCCGTATACCGAAGTTTGAGAGCTCATTGTGGGAGGGATGTTTGAATCATGCCTTGGCAGGCCTTCTTCGTTTTCTTCTGCCTTGTGGGATGCTGCTAATGGAAACAATCATCTCTTCTTGGGATCTTGCGCGTTTGCTGTTGCTACTTGTGCGAGGTTAGCGCTTTCCCTTCCTCATCGACCTACATCTGAAGGTTTTGACTCCCCGTCTTGATGTAGATCCAACGGCATAACGTTGTGTGGATATGTAGTGTACTTCTCCTTCAGGTTGCCACTCTGCTCATCTTCAACCTACTCCCCGATTGTCGCTGAGGTACCTTCTCCCTGCATCCTGCAGGAAGTTGGCGTGCGCATCGAGACAGGGGCAGTTGCACTGGGCAAGGATGCTCATGGGAGCTTTCTCGCTAGTCCTGCAGTGCGGAGTTGTGGTATCAGGTGCAAGGGAGGGGCTGTGAGGGTATGAAGAAGGTTTACGTCGTTCCCTCCAGGCCACCTTGCTTTCTCTCTGTTCGGGAACCTCCTTTACTGTAAGAGCGACTTCGCAATCCTCTCTGCTCTCCAGCACAACTTCCGCCCCCATCCCCCTCAAGATCCTCGTCCCTGGTGCAACCAGCTCGGTCCCTACAGATTCGTCCAGCAGACGTACTGGGGTGTGGGTTTCCTGGAATATTTCGAGTTCAAGTAATCTCTCATTGCTATCTTCGATTTCTCAGGGCGGTTTTCAGGCAGGTCCCGAATTTCCTTCTTGCGCTCCCCATCCTCTCGCTGGCGATTCTTTGCGCTTCGTCCTTTTTGTCTGATCATAGGAATCTGCTTCATCCGCGCAGTCTCTACGAAGTTCTATCGGGGAGTTCAGGAGGTACGACAGGGAAAAGCAGGAAGGCGCTAGGAACAAGCTCGGGGCTGAATCTCGACACTTTACCATATGTTGCTCACGCTGCGTTCTTGGCGATCTTTGCCTTCTTCTTCATCAACGTCCAGGTTGTTGCCCTCCAGTCCTCCTAGGCTGCCCTGACGTCGCTCAGGTCTCTACTCGACTGCTCTGCTCTTCATGCCCTTCAGTCTTCTGGTTCTTAGCAGCGTTGACCCATCGATCTCAGGTACGAAAACGGTTGCTGATGTTTTGTGACGGCAGCTGATAGGTAGCGAAGGATCCTCTTGCAAGGAAGCTCGTTGCGATCTACTGCTGTTTCTTCTCGATCTATGCCAGCATCGGCTGCGTCCTGTTTTCCACCTTCCTTCCATGGACATGAAGCAAGGAGCAGGAAAGGTAGACCGCTGCCGGACGATGCCGTGAAGAATGATTGGAAAGCTCTCCTGCTCCTTCCATCTTGGCAGAGCGCCGAATTCCTTTTCTCCTCATCTTCTCGATTTCGCACGTGATTCCTGTACATCCGGGACGGAGTTTGGTATCTCATTGTGGCTCTGCGCGTATGAGGAGGATCAACTCGGATAGCGGAGGTGCTCCACTCCTACCTCGACATACCCCAAGTTGTGCCTGGCTTCCGCCCAGTCGGGAGAGAGGTTTACAGCAACCTGCCACAAGGGTCAACGTCCCTCGGCGCAGATTCAGCTGGCAGGGAGCTGACCCGCAGGAGCTCCACAGCCTCCCTCCTGATCCTCTTGAACGCCTCGTCGCTCCCCTCCTGCGTCGCCTGCCAAGGCTCAGTCAGACGTTCTTGTGCGCGATCTTGTGCTGGACCCTGTGGAAGACGATGACGCCGAGGTTGTTGTAGAACTGTTTCAGCATGCTTGGCTTCACCCCCTCCTCTCGGATCGCTGCGCGATAGTCTTCCTCCTTCCAAGACTTCATCCCCTTGAACTTCTTCTCCTTGCCCGGACTCCCTCTCCCTCGTCGCTGCACATGGAGCATCAAGGACGGGCATGAATGAAGTGTGGAAGACCTCAGCGCCCTTTCCTTCCTGCCCCTGTGGAGGTTTTGTTTGTACTTGAGGTTTTGAAAGGCTCTCAGAACTTGCTTCTTCTTTCTGTCCTCCCTTCCCTCTCCCCTCGTTTACTCCCTTCCCTCCTTCGTTATCCCTTCCCCTTCTACCTCCGTTCTCATCTTCCTTCCTCCCTCCCTTCTTACTTCCCTGGTCTCCTCCCCTGGCTTCTCCCTTCTGCTTCTTCTCCGCTGCTGTGGAGGGCGTCTCCTGCTAGTCAAGCAATCAGCATTTCTCCACCTCGAGTGCTCAAACCTTCATGTGGGGCTGCTTTTCTTGTCCCCATCCTCTCTTTGTCCAATCAGGAGGCTCCGTCGGCAGGTTGTCGATCGATCGACCGTTCTTCTCCTCTACTCTCTGCTCCAGAGGTTACAACAACCGTGCAAGGTCAGACATCGAGGGCTGACGATCACTTCGACTTGCTTGGCTTTCTTCGAGCTTGCCTTCTGCATAATTCCTCACGCGTCATCTCATCACCAACTCAATCCGTCAGTGCCTGAGAGAAAAACGTCTCGATGTTGAGCCTTGCGTTGGGGTGAGAAGGATCCAGGAGCAGCGCGATGCGATAATGCCGTTCCACCCTCTCCATGTCTCCCAACGCCAGCAGAGCTGTGCAGGACAAGTGAGTTCTTCCTCCTAGAACAGACGTGCGGGTACTGTTGCCGAGGTTGTTGTACGCGTCAGCATACTGAGGGTCAATCCTGATCGCATTCTCGTAGTGCACGATTGCCTGAATTTCACTGTCACCTTGTCTGTGGAGGAGGGGAGGTATCTTCAGCAGCTCGCGCATACCCCTTGAATGCTCAGCTCCTTCCTAGCCAGCAGATCACCTGCTGCCATGTCAGCATCGGTAGCATGACGGACCATGGGCAGCAGACCAAGGTTCTTGTGAGCCCTCTTGCTGTAGGGGTTGACCTTGACAGCTTGTTGCAGGCTGGGGCAGGAGTGTGATCGGGGAGAGTTGCGGCAGGACTTGAACTTACAACTCCACTGACTTCTTGACATCGGTCTCCTCGTAGAAGGTTGCGAGGGACCCGAGAGCCTCTCCTGTTCGTCAAATCATGTCAGTTGCTACCCGGAAGACGGAGGAGGAGGAGGCAGGAAGGAGGCAGGGAGGAAGGAGCTACCGAAGTTTGGAGCCAAAGAGACAGCTTTCTCATACAAGCTCCTGCACCTCTCATACTCCTGAAAGACAAGAACAGCTCGGTCAACTGAAGCTCCCAGCATCTTTCACAGTGTATGATCGCACCGAAGCTTTCTTGCTCCCCTCTGCCACTCCTTTGCAAGTGACATGAGCCAGGTTGTAGTGAAGTTTTGCATTGTCAGGGCAGACCCTTCAAGAGAGCGCGTTCATCAGCGTTGTACACGATCAGCCCCGACTGCTCAAACCTGATCCCTGACTCGAAGATCCTGTCCGACGACATCCAGTCCAAGTTCCTCGCCCTCGCTGCGTACGCCATGGCGGAACCGACGAGCCCCAGGAGGGAGATCGCGACTTGTCTGCTGTTGTGGGAGCGAATGTGACGAGGAACAAGAAGTATCTCTCATAGCTCAGCTGCAGTACCCGAGGGCTGGAGAGGAAGGAGTGAGCAGGGCTGCGGCCAGGCAGCAGAAACCAGCGGAGGGCAGGTACATGATGCGCTCTGGGTGATCCTGTCAAGGCAGCAAGAGTAGGAAGGCAGCACAAGCCACCTGCGACTGCGAACCCAACGGTGAAAAAGAGGTTGGAGGCGGGGATGAAAGGAACTGCCTTTGAGTCAGTTCAACGGGAGGTGAGACGCTCGTTTTCGACCAATCAGCAGGACGATCGAAGACGTCACGGTGCGCTGACTGGCTGTCTTGAAGGAACACAGGCATGCGCGGGTTGTGAACGCTGCCAACAACTCACACACGGGACAAGCGAGGACGCATCCTGACCCAGCAAGGTTGCGATGAAGAGTAGGAGGGCGAGAGAGTAAACGTTCCGAGGGTCCCGCAGGTCTTTGACTGTCTGCCATGATCGAGATCAAACTACAAGACTGTCTGTGATTGGAATCTCACCCTAATGCAACCCATGCTCCAGTCACAGCACAGCCAACGGGGAAACAGGAGCAGTCGAGCGTTGACGACGTAGTACTGCCAGTAGGACAACCATCGGTAGAGGGCTTCCTCTACGAACGCTGCAGGATTGTTCTCGGCTGTGAAGGTTGGCGATCCATGCATGATTCGGATTCGCAACAACAAGAGCAAGGAACCGAAGGCTGTCAGAATGCTGAGACGCAGCATATACCATCCCGCACATCGTCTCCCCGGTTCCTGACCAAGTTCAAAAGTTACCCCTAAGGAAACACTCCACAAGAACAGTCGGACGAGACCTTGCCGGGCCCGCTGTCTTTCAGTGTAGGGTAAGGCAAGAGAGTCACACGATTCCTGACGGCGTCAAGGCTGCCGAGAACCTTCCAATAGGTCACCGGGCTGAACATGTAGATGATGGGTCACTGACCGCAAGAGCAGTAATCCCTGTCTCCTTGCAAAGGAGGGATAGCGCAACCTGGCAGCAAGATCAATCGCCTCGACCCGCGTCCTTCCTGGTTGAAGTAAGACACAACGATCGTCCTAGTTTCTCAACAGTACGCTGCGATCATTTGCAACCATGTCATCTCCACGACAGAGAGCTTACCATGGCCAGCGCAAGAATAAAGCATCCTGCTGCTCGACCTGCGCTCGAGGGTCACGGCCCGGTACAGAACGTGCCGGCTCTGCCTGACCTCGGCCGACATGGCCGCTGACAGATGCAGGAAAGTAGAGCAGGAGAGACAGGAGGTAGAATAAGGCAGACAGCAAGTCTGCTCGCCCTACCAGACCGACGACAGCCTCGCAATGCACCGGGTGGGTAGCAAACAATGTCCCGACCGCCTTGACCATGTCAGGATCGGCGCGATCATACTCCTCGTCACCAAGAGCGGGAGCTTGCCACTTGATCTGGGGAATACCCACAGAGCTGCAACGACAACGAGCAGGCTCGTGTTCAGCGCATGCAGCAGGATGTTTGTTCCGTGAAACACTGCATCAATCCACCGGTCACCTGAAGGCAACCTGCCCACCTCCTATGGTACCTCTCCTGTCCAGCCGTCCACCGGCCTGTAACCAGTTGAGGTGAAAGGTGAGGACGGTGAGCGGCCGGAATGACTTCATGACGGAGCTTCTCTCAGTGCTCGCAGCGAGACATCAACTCCAACCCTCACCTTGTGCGCGCTCACTGGCATCGGCCTCCCCCAGAAGTCGTGCTGGAACATGTTCGAGACCTTGTCTCCGATGCTCCCCTTCACGACCTCATGAGTAGCGGGAGGAGACCACGAGTCGTCGATTCTCATACCCGTGAGACGACGTCCTCGTTCTCAACGATCGCGCCATTGTCATCGAACACGAAATCGGCTGTAGCGGTCAAGGGGTCACTAATCGCCATGGCAGCATGCCTCCAGCAGCAGCACCGTCAAGGGCGTTCTCGAAGGTGGCGACGGCAGCGAGAGAGCTGACGGCAGCAACGAGCAAGATGTCCTGAGGGCTGAGGTCACCGACAACACTCTACTCGAGCGTGCACGGACCCCCCATGCTCCGACGCCTTCATCCTCCTGGTCGTTCCTTCCGGGTGTAGCCTCCTGGTCGAGGTTGGTTTTCTTGCCGGCATCAGCCATTCTATTTTTCTCAGTCGAGTTCTGCAGCCCTTCCACTCAAACTGCACATGAGCGCAGCTCCTGCAAAATCCCCCCCACCTCCCCTCCCGAGCTCGTACGTGAACATCAGGGGACCTCCTCCATCTCGGCCTGCAACGCACGAACATGGATGTTAGCGCTGATGGCTGCTCCCCTCCTCTCAGCATCGGCGTCTTCTCCCTGCATCCCTCCCTCCCTCTCCCTCTCCCTCTCCTCCTCTCCCTCCTGCCCCCATGACCCTCGCTTCACTCGGCATTGCGTTTGCCCGACTGGCCAACATTTCACTCAACAATTTTACGGTACTGACCTCGCGCCACCCCGTATTCTATAGTAAAATGGACCCCGTTCCAAAGGTACACTAAAATGTATTTAATGTTTAAATAGGTTTATAGGATATTCAAAGACCCTCTTTTAGAGCGAATCCGAGAAGGCTATGACTAGGTAGGGTCATTGTTTCATTATTAATTTACAGACCAACAATAGGAGGAAGAACATTTAAAACTTCATTATTTCAGCAAGCGTTTGTACCATTATTGATATTGGACAGGTCATCGTCGGTAAAACTGTGAGTAACCTCTTTTGATTCCAGTACAAATTACATACTTATATTAACAAAAATATTTAAACATATATTAGTTCTAAATGTTGGTTGGAAGTGGACGATGGCTTTGCCATTCCTGACCGTCCTCCCCCCCTCCTCCTCTCCCTCTCCCTCCCTCCTCTCCCTCCCTCGTCCTGCCCTCCTCCCTTCATTGTCTGTGCCCATGATCCATGATCCTCTCCCTCTCCCTCTTCCATTCCCTCCTGTGTCCATCCTGTCACGTTTGACCACCGATCACTGCAACACAAATCCTGCACCTCCGTCGGTCCTGTTTGATGCTTCTGCGCTATTCGAGTGCTCTTGCTTTCTTTCACATTAGAACCTTTATGGGTACACTTCTCACTCAGCATTCCTCTATCTTCCACAGAGACAGAGCGCAACCCACCCACCGGCTTCTTGTTCCGCTGCTACTGACTTTGATCCAAGATCGTATGGCCTACGACGAAGACTCCTACACCGACAGCATCACCATCGCACTCAAAAATGCAGACGGTATGCATCGTCTTCCTAACCATTCTCCTTCCTGGATCTGATCGGAACTCCAGGAGTGTCCCCGGACTTTCTACTGCATGATGTCAACATCGAATGCAAGGTATGGTCTCCCGTTGCAGCAATTCATGCGATTGATCCATGGCGAGCAGATAGGGGACATCAAGGTTGTTGGCTGCTGCCAGTCTCATCTCCTCTGCTCCTTGCCTCACCTCAACCTCAACTTCTCCCCTGCCCTCCCAACCCAATCCCAATCTCAAACCCCCATGGCAGGGAAGGCTTCACGTCGAGTACCCTGGAAATCCCGTCCCGCAATCACAGAAGATCGTCTTTTCCGGGAGGTGGAAGGAACCAAGGGATCATCCGCTGACGATGCTGATGGCTGGGGTTTGCAGGCTCTTGAAGGACGCGGAGGTGATAGGAGACCTCGTTAACGTGCGTGGAGGGAGCTTGGAGGAGGCGGGAGGGCTGAAGTCGTTCCACAGGGCCACATGATGCCGGCAGTGTTTCATCTTCTCGTCCCAAGGAACTTGCATGCTGAGTCTTCACGTACGTGCCGTGAGGATGCCCGCGCGAGTCTGCTAAGCTGTGCTCGTTTAGACCGCGCTGCGACGCCGCTGGCAGCGAAGAAGGAAGCGAGCGCGGGGGAGAAGAAGACTGTGGTGTGTTGAGCAGATGTGGATCTTTAAGAGTCCTCGTTCCTAACAGTTTCCCAAGGTTGAATCTCCCGCTGCCAGTAACAGCCCAGCTGCCTCCAACCATCCTAGTGCCTCCAACCCTCCTGCAGCCTGCGTCTCCCCAGCGCCGCAGGGCCATTCGAACTCGCTCTCGACTCCGTCAGCTGGAGTTTTCACGCCTCAGGCTCATCACCAGCTCCCCCCCGTCTCGTTCAACTTCGATCCCTTGATGTACTCTCCCTCCCTCTCTCCCTCCCCCGTCCCTTTCGCCTTTCCTTGCGATGGCGTTTCCCCATCGTCTCTCGCGTATCAGCAGATACAACAGGTGAAAACGGGAATCATCATTGCCCACAATGCCTGACAACATTCAAAAGGTGTATTATGAAGCATACTATCAAGCATACCTACAGTACTTCACGGCGGCAGCAGTCCAACAGGATGCTTGTACCGAGCAGAATGAGCAGAACTTGTAAGCCGAATCGTATTTGGTGGAGGTGAAACTTTGACCATCCAACGCAGGCAAGAAGGAGAGTCAGCAAAGTTTGAGGCAAGGATGGAGGTGTGTACTTGAAGACTTTGAAAGTTTGCATCGAATGATATGCCCACACAGCAGGAAACGTCCGTCCGATACGCCAGTGTAGCTCAAGAAAGGTTAGCAAGTGATGCTTGCTTCCGCCCTCGCTCATACCGGGCAGCAGAGAGCTTGGAGATACTGAAGAGGCGGAGTTGGATGAAACTGCTTCACGGGGCATGGCGAACGATGTTGGAAACGATGGTCGAGCACGCGGAAGGCTGAGACGACTCTACTCACTCGCTCGAGCAGATGCGGCCGGTGAGCAGCAGAACGCGGAGCAGGTGAATCTGCTGCCGGGAGCGCGAGCTCAAGTGAACAATGACTTCGAGCATGAGCGGTACGTGTTGGCTGCGTGAGAATGCTCCTCTCACTTGGTCTTGCCAGGGGCGAGCAAGAGGGTCACGGGCAGCATCGAACGCTGGTGCTGGCACTGAAGCTGATGTTCGTTGTGGTCGTTCTGGGTCAAGACGCCAGCCGTGAACGAATGTAAGAAGTGCTTGTGCTTGTCTGCTGCCTTACAGGGAGCTCACGATTGTCTCGCCCCAGGGTTGCCCTTTGTTGTTGTGCAGCGGCCATCTTTCTGCATCAGACAGGTCAGTGATAATCGTCTTGTATCCTCGAGTTTTCAATGACTGGAGATACGACAGGCATCTTGAGGATCTTTGCCTGGCTGCACCAGGTAGAGTCCCTTTCTTCTTCCTCCGCCTCTCTTCTTCACCTCCTCCGCCTCTCTTCTTCACCTCCTCCGCCTCCCCCCCCCTCCCCTTGACTTTTTCCCTTCCCTTCTTCGCTTCTCCCCCCTCCTCTCTCCTTGCCCGCACCTCCTGCGTTCACTCTTCCCTCCTTTCCCCCTTGCTTTCTCCTCCACTCCTGTACATCTGGCTGAAGGCTGTGCAAAGGAGCGGGGAGATCGCCTGCAGTACGACGACGGCGAGATTGAGCATGAAATGAACGAAGAGGAAGTTCCCAACCATGAGGGACGAGGAGGCGAAGCAGGAGGAGGAGAGGGTTTCACAGGGCTGCTTGTCGACATTACTGCCTTGCTCGTAAGTCTCGTTGCAGCCTCCTGTCCCTTCCAGCATGCTCACCAACCCACAGGTCGGTTTCTTCACCTCCCTTGTCCCTCGTACTCCTGCGCACGCTCATCATGCGTTCTGAATGGTCGGGGCCCGAGGAGGAGGCCCGAGGAGGAGGCGAGGTAGATGACTAGCATGTAGAGGCTCCCAACCCTCGGTTTACGCTGAGACCCATTTCAAGAAGAGTAGAAGAACTGTGGAAATGTCCGTGACCCTGTGCGTAATGACACGACTGTTGCTGCTGACACACTGTGATGCTGATGTGCTTGTGCGTTCTATTCGTTTCGGGTAAAGTTTTCAAGATCCAAGACAGGGGAGAGAGGAGAGGGGCAGGAGCAGGACTACCAGACCTCGCATCTCTTCCTACTGGGAGAGTCAGTGCTGAGTGAGAAAGCAAAAACAGAGGCGACCTCGGATTCATTGGAGAGCCAACAGCGCACTGAAAGGCTTCGGCAAACTCTGAAATAAACGTGAGAGGAGGAGGAGGAGGAGGAGGAGGAGGAGGAGTGGACCAGGAGGACAGACAAGGGGAGGAAAGTAAGGAAGTAGCAGGGGAGGAGGAGATACCCGGTGTCTGGGAGAGAGGCCCGTTGACTCGCCAGCGATCAGGAGCATGAGGGTCCGTCAGGAGCTGCAGCTCTTCAGCCTGCACGAGAAGCTCAGGAGAGAAGGAAAGGGAGCGGAGGGCAAAGAAAGGCTGCTACCACCCACTGGCCCCTCTTGTTGAGGTCCAGGTCATGGAGAGAAGAGAGCGGGGAGGCGAGGAGGGTAGGAGATGGCAGAGGGAGGAAGAGAGAGGAGGAGAGAGGAGAGGATGGCAGACACACTTGAGGAGAGAGGGGGAGGGGGATGAGGGGGAGAAAGGGGCGGGAAGGTAGCAAGTTTCACCTGCTTGCGAGCCTTGGAGCACCAATTCTGACCCTGCCATGGGAGATTGAGTGGCAAGGACAGGACACGACATGGGGACTAGCAGGGAGGAGGAGGTGGAAGTGGAGGAGGGAGGGAGAGTGGTAAGCTCACCTGAGCCACGAAGAACAGCTGCCTGTCCGTCCTGCTCGGAGCCGCCTGGCCCTCCTTCTCCCTCAGCTCCCGCTCCTGCCGTGTCCGAGTCAAGGACGTGGAGGAAGCAGCAGCAGTAGCAGCAGTACCATCGCTCTGTAGGCGATCTTGACGCCCCCGATGTCTGTCATCATCACAGTCGTCAGCCCTCCTTCCTTGCCCTCCGGCCAGTAGCCATACCAGCGATGTTCTCGCCGAGTGTCAGCTCCCCGTTCACGTGCTTCCCGTCCAGCTTCATACTGTTGGCTCTCGATCACCGTCTCCTCTACCTCTCCTCTCCTCTCCTCTCCTCTCCCTCTTTTCCGCTCTCCCTCCCTCCCTCTCCCTCCCTCCCTCTCCCTCCCTCCCTCTCTCCCCCTCTCACTCCTCCCCACACCTGTTGTACAGCTCGACCACACAGCTTGCCCGCTCCTCGAACGCGTCTTTGTCCGCGTCGGACCACCACTGCTTCATCCTCCCCTCCGGGTTGAACTTCCTCCCCTGGTCGTCGAACCCGTGGGTCATCTCATGCCCCAGGATCGTCCCGATCGCCCCGAAGTTGCGCGCAGCTCGGTAGGTGGTGGAGAAGAACGGCTTCTGCAGGATGCCCGCAGGCACGAAGATTCCGTTCTTGTCGTAGCTGTAAAACGCGTCCACCATGGCAGGCGACGTCGTCCCCCACCTGTTGCGCTGCACGGGGCGCGAGAGCCGCGCGAACGCGTGGTGGATGTACCACTTGTAGAGCCTGTCCCCGTCCTGCACGAAGTCGCCGGAGAGGGAGAGGCCGCGGTAGTCCGCCCATGTCGGGGGGAAGCCGATGGAGAAGAACATGTCGGCCAGCTTGTAGGTGGCGAGGGACTTGGTCTTGTCGTCCATCCACGGGACTTGCAGGATCTCTTCCTGGAACACGTCCCTGATCCTGCTGAGCATGTCCTGGGCCTGAGACAGGATGTCCATTGAGAAGTAGCGCTGGACGAAGACCTTGCCAACGTAGTCGGGCAGCGCATTGTTGACGGACTTGTAGCACTTGTACCATCTTGGCACCCTCGTCTTCTGCCCCACCACCACCTGCTGCAGCTCCTGCCCGACGGCCAAGAAATCCTCGCTCAAGTCCGCTCCGAGGATGAAGGCAACGCTGGTGAGAGAGTGAGGCGAAGGCGAACATGGCAGTGGAGCTGCAACACAACGAGGAGCAGAAAGATCGAGGAAGCAGGGTAGGTGTAAGAGAGGGGGATGAGGTGGTGGGAGGGAGGAAGGAGGGAGTTGAGCAGGGAGTAGGATGATGGTGGTTATGGAGGAGGAGGAGGAGGAGGAGGAGGAGGAGGAGGAGGAGGGATGAGAAGGGGGATCAGGTAAACAGGGTAGACCGGAAGAGCATGTAGGCTCGGATGTGCGAGGCAGGAGTCTTGGGCAGCAACTCTTGGACGCCCCGGAAGTAGTCTGAATCATCATCATCATCATCATCATCATCATCATCATCATCATCATCATCATCATCATCATCATCATGGGCAGCAGCAGCATTGTCATTATCGTTCTCGTCATCCAACCTGGATTTCGAATCAACACTTTCGCGTTGTTTAAGTCAGCCTTGTAGGGTCCAGCCATTGCGCTCAGAACTTTCGGAAGAGCGAGAGAAGGGCAAAGTTGGTCGAGGGAGTCAAGGGAATATTGACCCTGCCAAGAAGCATCTCAACCCTCGCCCCTCGCCCCTCGTTCCCCCAGCTCCTCCTGCTCTCCTTGCTTCGTCCTCTACTCCAACTTCTGCTAGTGCTCTTGCTCCTGCTCTTTCTCCTGCTCTTTCTCCTGCCCCTGCTCCTCTCCTCTCTTTTTTTCTCCTCCTCCTCCTTCTCTACCTGTGTGGATGTCCTCTCCTGCGTAGCATCCTTGAAGAGCTTCGCCAGCTCCGTCTCAAAGTTCAGCGTAGCCTTCGCATCCTCCTCCGCCTCTTCCTTGCTCTCCCCCGCAAGCATGAAGACCTTCTTCATGACCTGCATGCGCTCTCACCCTCCTTTCTCACAGCAGTCAGCACCAGCAGCACCTCCTCCAGCCCCTTGAGCTTCGTGTTGGCCTCCGTGCTCCCGCTGTAGTACCACTTGGGGTCGGGCAGCGTGATGCCGTCTTGCATCAGGTTGACGGCATACTTGGACGGCTCGTGCGGGTTCACCTCAACACTCCAGTCGAAGAACACCTGCTGAGGGTGAGGTAGGAAGGAGTGGAGGATGGGAGAGAGAGGGGGGAGGAGAAAGGGTGATAGATGGAGAGGTGAGTATGCGAGGAGGGAGGAGGGAAGGAGGAGGAAAGGAGGGAGGAAGGAAGAGGGAAGAGGAACGAGGAAAGAGCAGGAGGGAGTAGGAGGGAGGAGGTGAGTGGGGGGAAGGGATCGTTCTAAGAAGAAGGGAGCTCTTGACCTTGATGTCGGACATGTGCCACTGCACCAGCAGCTCCTGCAGCGCAGCGAGACCGCAGGGTGTGGGGTGGAAGCGAGCGAACGGGACGTGCGAGTGTTCCTTACAGCTGCTGGCAGAGTCAGTGGACTGCCTCCCTCCACGGCCTCATTGCCTCCTTAGTGACTGAAGAGCCTTCTTGTAGGGCTCGATCGGCGTCGCTCCCAGCTCGTTGATCCTCGTCATGTTCATGCAGCTGCGGTAGAAGTTGCCGGCCAGTCCTGCGGTACCGTCATCCTACTGCCTAGAGGGAAGGGAAAAGGAGATGGAGAGGTAGGGAGGAGGGAGGAGGGGGAAGGGAGGGGGGAGAAGGGAGAAGGGAGGATAAGGATAAGCAACGTGGATGAGGGAAGGAGGGGGACGAAGAGGAAAAGGAGAATGGAAAGGGAAGCAGGGAGAAGACAAAAGAAAGAAGAGGAAAGAAGAAGGGAAGGGGGTTGGGTGAGAGAGAAGCTACTGGTGCTGCTGCTTGACACTGACCGTGATCCGTCTCGACAACCTCTCGGAGCAACTCGTTGTTCCTTGCGCTGACGCCGCTCCATGCTCGCGCCCACTCGTTTTGATCGGCCTCGACCTGAGGAGCAGGGGTTTCAGGGGGTGGGGCCAGGCACACTCCTCCTCCTTCCTGCGTGATCTCCTGGAACGTGCCGCATGCATAGCTGTAGAAGTCATGGCAGGGGTCGGCAGAGAGGTCCATGGCCTTCAACACCTGCGGGGGGGTCAGTGCAAACGGAGAGGAGGAGACGGCAGAACCTCGTGCGGGAAATGTCTGGCTGCGATCTTTGCTGCCTCCTGGGCAAGCAGAGGATGAGAGGAGGGTGGATGAGAGAGAGAGAGAGAAGAGCGAATGGAAGAGAAGGTTGCATGGAGGACGTAGGAGCAAGGCCCGTTGGGAAGCAAAGGGGGAAGGAGAGACGGGGAGTACAAATGTAAGGAGAAGGATGGTAAGTCAAGGTAAAGAGGAAGGAGGGGGAAAGGGAGAGGGAGAGGGAGAGGGAGAGGGAGAGGGAGAGGGAGAGAGGGAGGATGCAGGGAGGCAGGGAGAGGCGGGGTGTGCACTGGGGAGCAGGTGTGACCGAGGACCTACCTGAGACTCTCGGCTCTCGCCAGCTTCAGTGGCTGGGTTATCGTACTGCTCCTGGAAGGACTTGAGCTTCTTGACGAAGAAGACGGTGGCGAAGATCAAGACTACGAGGAGGAGTCACAAGAATGTCGGCCACGAGCCCAGCCGGATCGCACCGAAGAATCCAACGGCTATGGCGATCCGCTTCATGCGCTTCCTTTGCCTTGAAGGCGCGTCATGGCTCCATCGCTCACACTGCAGCATCTCACCTTCCTGACCTCCCATCGGACAGTGGGACCCTTAGGCCCTCCAGCGTGTTGCTCCGCATGCTGATCGACCCTTTCCCGCAGGGATCGAGCGCTGGTTTCACTTGCAAGATGAAGTACCCTGCTTCCTCGTTGCTTCCTCAGCTATGTACACCTCCTCCATACCGACATGAGCTGCTGCAACCTCTCCCGATCTCTTTCCTCTCTCTCTTCTTCCTCTCACTCCTCCTCTCCTCCTCTTATCTCCTCCCTTCCCCTTGCCCCCTGCAGTGACTCAGCATGGCGCAACCAATAGCCCCATAGTTTGCAATTTTAGTTATTGATGGTGCCTCAGAGCCCGCCTCGCCGCCTCATCCCGGGCCCGGTCCGATGACCATGGCGGCATGACTCGGTTGGCCGGGCACTGCCGCAACTGATGCGGCACAGCCGCCGGGCCGGCTGGCAGGGTGTCACTGGCCGGGCCGGCCGGTCCCGAGGCTATCTGGCGGCCCGGGACACTGCCAGCCTGTCTGACTGAGTTTCAAAGTTCTCCGACGGCGGACTGTTAGTCCGGCGATCTGCTCTGCGGCTACTCAGTGCCACTAGCGACCGTACCCGGTAGTACCGTGCCTCCCGGAGTCCGGCGACCGAGGGCCCGGCCTGCGACATCCGGCGATCGGATCGCCGCCGACGATCGGCGCCGGGATGATCCACCGCCGGCTCAAAATTTCCCGGAGTCCGCAGGTTCGAGTCGCTGAGTGAACGTCTGGCTGTGAGATGCTGCTGTCCCATCATAGTCATCCGATGCTTCTGGACGATCGCAGGGAGCCTCGCCGGGAGCCCACTGGGGAACAGGGATTGGGGGGCCTTGCTTAATGATGATGGAAGAAAGATGGAGTGAATGTTCGCTTGCATGCTGGGAGTTGAGCTGAAGCTGTCGACAACTCGATCACGGTTGCGAGGCTTTGAGAAGTTCAGATAGGAGGAGAAAGGCGACAAGGGAGGAAACGAGTCGACAGGAAGCTGTGTCTACACTATCTGGCTGTCTCACACTCACTGCTTCCACCCGCTCTTGGCTTGCTCTAGCACGTAGCTCGAGACTGCTTCGATCTCGTCCGGATCCAACCCGAGCTTCTTCGACTTGATCCCGTAGGCAGGCATCGGCCGCTTGCCTGGAGGCAGTCAGCTACCGAAGGCACTGGTGAGGAGGACAGATCTCATCACCTTTCGTTACGATGTCAATGATTGCGCTGACATCCGAGTACCCATCTCTCTTGAGAGAGTCTTCCGTGAGCGTCTTGGAGGGATTCAGCGTGTTCCCGCCGCCTGCACCATCATGGTTACGGATGCAGCAGAGGTCCAACTTCAAGCATACCCTGATGGCAGGCGATGCACTTGGTGTTGAAGACTTCTTGTCCGCTCCTTCCCTCAGCCAATGCAGGATCGCACCCTGTGAAGGAGAGGAGGGCAAAGGAGAGTAGCAAAGGAACAGCTTTCATGGCACCTGCCCCGCTACTCCCAGTCTGCACAGCAGTGCGCAGAGAAGGAGAAGAGCAGGAAGGGTGAGAGGAAGAGGAGGAGGAGGAGGAGGAGGAGGAGGAGGAGGAGGATAGAACTGAGAGAGTTCTCATCGAGATGCTAGGAGGAGGTGCATAGCAAGAAGCCGCCGCCGCCATGGCCGCAAAACTTGCCCACCGCACCATTATCGGTATCAAGTAATTGCTTTTTCAAATTCCGTTACAACCGTTACGTGCTTTGTGTCAACCGTTAATTTGTAACTGAAGGGCACGCGCGAGGAGCGGCAATGGCGGAGAGGCAGAGAAGAGGAGGGAGCGAGATGGCGGGAGGAGAGAGAGAGGGGGGGAGGGAAGAGAACTTGTTGAGGATGAACGAGGCGAGGGTGAAGAACAGATCACCTCAGGGTGACGAGGGAGAGGAAGAGGGGGACAACGGGAGGTTGGAGGTGTCGGGTCCGCTTTCTGCAGGGATGCGATGGGAGGAGATGAGGAAGGGTGTAGAGAGGATTCCATGGCTGTAGAGAGCATGAAGATGGCTGAAGTCATGATTGCTGAGTGAAAGGTTGAACCTGAGTGCCGGAAAGAGCCACACCGATGTCCGTGAATACATGACTGTCTGGGAAATGTCCTGGTTCTGCTAGAGTTGTTGGTCCGTTCATGCTAAAGTCCAGTGGAGGATGTAGAATGCAGTGAGAAAAAGAATCAGATTTTTTGAAGATGCTCTGAGAGAATCCCAACGTGCTGTATATAGTTGAGGCTGGGAAGACGAACGTTTGCGCTCGAATGTGCCGCGCTCATGCTGTTGGCAATCAAATTTACAGAACAAAACGCTGATTTGTAGTTGCACAGGTGAAGCTTGCAATACCCAGGAACTCGAACACACTTTGTTGAGGAAACTTGGTCGTTGCAACTTTGGAATCGTTCACCCCTGGCCTGTGCCGTTGTTCGTGAAAGACTAGTTCAAGATGCGGATTATGATCAAGGGAGGTGTTTGGAAAAACACCGAAGATGAGATCTTGAAGGCAGCCGTGATGAAGTACGGCAAGAATCAATGGTCTCGTATTGCTAGTTTGCTTTCTAGGAAGTCTGCGAAACAATGCAAGGCTCGCTGGTACGAATGGCTGGACCCTAGCATCAAGAAGACAGAGTGGACGCGAGAGGAGGACGAGAAGCTGCTTCACTTGGCAAAAATCATGCCGACACAGTGGAGGACGATCGCTCCCATCGTCGGCCGCACAGCCGCGCAGTGCCTGGAGCGATACGAGAAGCTGTTGGACGAGGCGATGCGAAGTGAAGGTCAGGCCCCGGATGAAGCGGATGACCCCCGCAAACTCCGCCCAGGAGAGATCGACCCGAACCCGGAGTACAAGCCAGCCCGTCCAGACCCTGTTGACATGGACGAGGACGAGAAGGAGATGCTCTCCGAGGCCCGAGCAAGGCTTGCCAACACGAGAGGTAAGAAAGCGAAAAGGAAGGCCAGGGAAAAACAGCTCGAAGAAGCTCGCCGCCTTGCTTCTCTGCAGAAACGACGTGAGTTGCGCGCAGCTGGAGTCGAGATCGTTCGCAGAAAGAAGAGACGAAACTTCATCGACTACAATGCTGAGATCCCCTTTGAGCATAAGGCTCCTCTTGGCTTCTATGAGGTTGACGGGGAGCACAGCATCGTGCCAAAGCAGAACCTTACCAATGTGAGCTTGAAGGACCTTGAAGGTGCCCGGAGGACAGAAGTTGAAGAGGAGAGGCAGAAAGAAGACTCAGAGAAGCAGAAGAAGCGAAGGAAGAAGGACCTTCCTGGCGCGATCGTGCAAGTGAACAAGATCAATGACCCACAGCGTGTCACGAAGCGTGCCAGGCTGATTCTGCCAGCCCCCGTCGTCACCGATCAGGAGCTGGAGCAGATTGCGCGTGGAGGAGTGATGCTCGATGTCGAGGAGGGAGGGAGTGCAGCCACGAGGTCTCTTGTCGGCTCCTACACGCCTGGCGGTGTCACTCCCGGCATCCACGGAGCCGCCAACACTCAGAGGATAGCTCGCACGCCCATGAGGCAGTTCTCTCTCCAGGAGGAGATCAAGAGCGTCGCCATGATCAACGCCATGGGAACTCCCCTGCTGGGCGGTGAGAGCGGACGCGACAGAATCGAAGGAAAGGATTTCAGTGGCATCACCCCGGCAAGGCCGGTAAGGAGCTGCCCATCTGATCCCATGCATTCTGCTGCTCTCCTTGCAACCTCTTCGTCTCTCGCGCTTTCTCACGATTCATCTTGACTGTATTCGTAGGTGATGGCAACGCCCAATGTGGCTGCTGGGGGGATGACCCCAGCACAGACCCCTGGGTTCGGTGGCAAGATGCTTGCAGCCGGCGAGGCGACACCTGCCATGAGTTTGACTGGCGGTGCAACGCCAATGTTCCGAGACGCCCTTCACTTGAATGCTGATGATGGAAATTCGCTGTATGATGAAAATGCCAAGATGCAGAGGGCCAAGGTGTCGTTTGTTCCGAGCATAATGAAAGAATTCACGCTTTGCCAGGAAACTCTCTTGAAGCAACAACTTAAGAATGCGTTGAAGTCTCTTCCAACTCCCAAGAATGACTATGAGCTCAATTTCGGAGGTACCTGAAAGGCGTGAACGTTGGCAGCTCCTGACCATTGTTGGATCCGTAGCTCTGGCAGAAGGAGTCGATGGTGAAGAAGAGAAGGTATGAGCTCAAACCTCGACTCTCTGAATCTTACCAGCTTGCAGGATGCTGGATTCGAAGAAGACATGTCCGACATGGCACGCAGGCTGATGCGGGAGGCCAAGGCGAGAGAGCAGGTGCAGGAGGATAGTGTGCGATGTCGCGGCTCCCTGACGCACACACAGGCTGAGCTCAAGAGGAGGGCCATGGCAATCCAAAGAGACCTCCCCCGCCCCCTCCAAGTCAACCCTGCCTACGGGAAGGGCGAGACAGCAGACAACATGGCAAACGCGACCTTGCAGGCTGCTGCCAAACTCGTACACCAGGAGATGCTGGCGTTGCTCCACTCAGACTCGATCGCCCACCCTGTTGCCGGGGCCGCTCCTCCTTCAGGGAACGCGAAAGTGATCGAGCCGGTCGACGACGAGTACATGAAGATGGCGAGATCGCTGGTCGATGCTGAACTGAAGGTGTGAGGAGTCATGTGACATGCTTCAACGGGCTGGTGACATGGATGACGTAGGCTGTAAATGATGCTGCAGAAAATTCGACGCAGAGGCAAGGAAGGATGTTAACCTTAGCCTTGATCTGACGTGCTGATGTTTGTAGGCTTACTCTCAAGTCTGGCAAGAGATCTCAGAGCAATTCGTCTACCTTCCCTCCGAGAGAAAGCTCAAGGTTTGCAGTCAGTATTGATGATAGTCTTTGTTGTCATGTGGTCTTGTGTTGCAACAGCATTGTCTCTTCTTGTCTTGCTGTCTTCATATCGTCGAAGCTCGTCTAACTCACGTGGCAGTTGCGGGAGAGTTTGACACCTGCTCAAGTGATCGAGACGCTCAAGTAACAGGAAGGGACGCGAGGGTTGAACTCATGAAGTTGACAGGAACGAGCACGAGATTGTCGTGGCGCATGCGAACCGAGAGGTGAAGAAGATCGGGAAGGCGGAAGGTGAACGAGCGAGGGTCTGAGCTGCTCCTGACGCAGCGGCAGGTCGGACGGCGAAGATGATTGCGGGGTACGAGAAGAGGAGTCAGTCGTTGAAGGTGAAGGAGGCGGGGAGGATGGGAGGAGCGACTGAAGGGTCGCAGGAGGACGGGTCCAACATGCTCAAGGAAAAGGAGGAGAACATGTTTGCGCTGGAGACTTACAAGCTGATGCATGCCTACGAGAAGGACGCGACCCCCAAGGTCTGTCGCGCTCCTGTGCTGGGCCTCGGGCGTGTTTGACGTGCTCATGGCAGCGAGTGGAGATGCTGAATCAGCTCTGCGAGTCGGAGAACCTGAGGGAAACAAAGCTTCAGGTCTGCTTGCTGTTCCCCGTCACGCTGTTGTTGACCGCTCATGGCGCAGGCTCGGTACGCTGAGTTGATCGCAAAGAAGAAGGAGAAAGCAGCATGAGCGTGAGGGTTCAGTCGCTGGGATGAGATGTGACTCGTTTAACTTCCGTCCTGCCACATTGCAACATTTTTTTCTCTACACCTAGATCAAACTTGCTATCGTTTTACATGTCCTCGACTCTTTGTCTTGTCTGCTCTTTCAAGTTTCTTCTTTGCTCGTCTCCACAGTGATCGGCTCAGTCTCCGGCACCTTCTCCTCTTCCTGCTTCACATGGGCTCAGTCAAGCTCCACACATCTCGCCAGGACTCACGCTTGCTGGTACGCTGACAGAGAAGCCAGAGGACAAGCCAAACACCTGAAAGAAACGATCTGAAGGATGAATGGAGGGCAGGAAGTCGAGGGGGAGAGGGAGGGAGGGAGGGAGGGAGGGAGGGAGGGAGGGAGAGGAAGGTGCGAGGCTGGGGGTTGGCAGGAGCAAGGGAGTTTTCATTTACCTGCATGAGGGTGTGAATTTTGTCCCGATAGTCCCAGTGCCCCTTGACGATGCCGGTGACGTCAACGTTCTCCTGTTCGCGAGTCACGACAGCGCGCAGAGGAGGGTCAGACCCTACCAGGTTCGAGTTCTCCTCCCCCTCCAGCTGAATCGCCTGCAGCCCCGCGACAGATCTGCCAGTTGCCATCAGGCCTGCCGTGACGCTCCCTCCCTCCTCCCTGCCTCCCTGCCTCCCTCCCTCCTCCTCCCTCCCTTCCCCCCCCCCTCCTCTACCTGCTGAAGCTGGAGGAACGATAGAGGAACGACAGGACCCAGTCCGTCTGACAGTAGGCGTTGACCAGCCGGTGTCCGCACACGGAGGAAGCTCTCCTCCAGTCCTTGGGGTTGGCGGGGCAGGGAGTTCCCATGCAGATGGCAGTCTCGACGATCCCAGCGCCCTCAGCTCCGAGCTTCGACAGCTCCAGCAGGCACTTGAAGATCATCCGAGCTCCGACTCCGAACCCGACCAGCGTCACCGGCCGGTAGCCCTGCACCCGGCTGGCGAGCGTCCGCGCGAGCTCCTTGCCGGCCTTGTCGGCTCGGAGCTCCGTGACGCTCCAGGTGCTGTCGATCCAGGAGGCAGCGGAGATGAGGGTCCTCGGCCAGGTCAGGGAGAAGAAGGCGGCACCGAGGACGACGCTGCCCACCACGGAGGTAGTGTAGTATCCAGCTTGCGACTTGAGGTAGGAGGAGACCACCCGTCCCATCTCCCTCAGCTGCTTCGACTCCCACCGCAGGGCAAGAGTCTCCCCCCCGTCGCTGGCGACCGAGCAGAGGGCTCTATCCCACACCTTCCACGCGCTGTCGTCCTCGTCCAGCAGCCACCCAGTCACTCCGATGGTCACGGGCAGGCCTGGGCTCGTGTCGATCAGGTCGAAGGCAAACTCGTCCAGCTCTGCCGTCCTCCTCATCATCTTGTACCCGCAAAGTCCAGCTCCAGCTGCTCCAAACGAGACCCCCAGCACTGCTGACAAGCCGCCGAAGGCTGCGGCGCCTGCTGCCAACGTCCCTCCGATCCCCACGGCTGAACCTACGAGCCCGAGCCCGGCGATGACCGCGGGGGCGGCCAGCCCGCCGGTGAGGCCGATGAGGGCGCCGCCGACGACAGCGGCTCCTCCTATCTTGGCCGCCCTCAGGTACTTGGACTTGGGCTTGGCGGAGCTGGAGGAGTCCTGGGGCGACTGCTCGAGGATGGAGGCGCGGATGATGGCCTCGGAGAAGGCGATCTCAGCACAGGAGATCCACTTCCAGGGGATGCGGAGGTGGTCCGACAGCCTCCGGACGAGGGACCTGGCCCGGGCATCGTACTTTTTGGTCGAGAGGGAGGAGGAAAGAATCATCCAGCAGATAATCCACTGAAGGCTTCTGTCCTCCCTCGCCGTCTCCTCCTCCTCCTTGGCCGCACTCTCGACCTCAGCCACCGCAGCCGGCACAGCTGATGCTGAAGACGGCTCCTCCTCCTCCTCCGCGTGCTCTTGACCGTCTAGCAGAACATTCATGAGATGACTTCGCTTCTCCTTGCCCTCACCCTGCGTTTCTTCCGCACGCTTCGGCTCTCTGCAAAGGAAATGAACACTCTCTCCGCCTACCACAAGGACCTGAGCTGCTACCTTGGACTAGTGCCCTCCTTCACTTCCTGCTGCTTCCTCGCATCACCTGCGCCAAGTCTCAGAGAACCAGCAAGCGTCTCCCTCCTCCATCTCCCTCCTCACTCACCCGCGATCTTCTCCTGCGACTTGATGATGAAGCTTGAGATCGTCGGCATGTCAACATGGTCATCCTCCATCATCTGCTGCTCTCAAAACCCTCAGCTCCCAGCACGGCCCCCAGCTCCCACCTACCTGAAGGGCCTCCAGGGACCTGCTGTCCACAGCCAGATCTCTGCAGATGATCGAGAGGTAGCGCCGGTACCACCCGACGATCGCCCCGGACATGGCCAAGGAATCCACGAGAGTGAAGGAGTCGGACTCGCTCTGTATGCCATCCCCTCCTTCCACTGCCACCTCCTCCTCCCGAAGGACTGTCTCTGCCTCCTTGCTCGACAGCTCCGCCAGCACGCGGGTCTGCCTCTTGAGCATCTTCGCTAGGAACCCAGCACACAGCGCCGATATGCTCCACCTGCCGTCCGACTTGTCAACCCCCAGCGCACGCACTTCCTCCTCTCACCGTAACTCTGACGTGAGCAGCCTGTCAGGGATCCTACCAGCCCACCAGGGCCTGCCGTCTGCCTCCGCGGAGTTCTCCAGTACAAGGTTCACGGCCTCCGTCGGCGCCAGCTCCGCTATGCACGGCAGCTGCCCTTGGACGTCGACCCTCCTCCTGTCTGTCCTCGCCATTGGCGGGAGGTCTGGGAGTCCGGCCACTGAGGAGAAGTAGGCCTTAGCAGCAGCAAGACAGCCGTTGGAGATTCTCGTGCATCGTATCATGTCGATCCTCCTCGTCCTCCCCTTCCCATCTGTACACTCCAGCGCGAGCCGGACGAACGATTTCCCGATGAGCATGTCCCGCACATCCTTCCTGCTCATCCCGCTCAGAGACTTGCCGTTAATGCGCGTGATTGTATCGCCAACTCCGATGACAGCGCATTCCACTTCTTGCTCCGATGTCTTCGAGCTCGCTCCTTCAGATCCTGCCACCTCTCTCTCCCGTGCTCCTCCCTTCTCTCCCTCCCCCTCTCCCTCCACTCCTTTCCCCTCCCTCTTCTCGTCCTCCTGTCCCGCTTCTGGTGATGCAGTCCAGTGCCGTGTTACCAGCCATGCTGCTCCCCCGTCATTGATACCGCGCACGATGCATCCTCTCTCGCACATCTCGAGTTTCAGTCCCAGCTCTCCTACAGCCTCGTCCCTTTCGTCCTCAAGCGGGGCCTGACGCAGCAGCGTCACGGCAAAGGGCTCGGTGCCGACAGCATGGCACAGCTCCAGCCACACAGGAGTTCCCAGCTCCCCGTCCAGCATCTTGCCCATGGCAGCGACGTCAGTCGCTTCGTCGACGGGAACGGCATCGACCGACTTGATGATGTCACCGATGGCGACGAGACCGCAGAGGGCCGTTGGGCTGCTGTGGTAGATCTCGGCAACGACGGGGCCCTTGTGGGCAACAACGTTGACGGTCAGTCCAAGAGCCTTGCAGAAGATGCTGGACTTGCTCTGCTGCGACGAGAAGACCTTGATATTTGCAAACTTGGACCTGAAGTTCTTCATGCTGGGGTAATACAACAAGCGATGATAAGGCGCAGCTCGGCAAAAGCTTTGTGGATCTCCCCCCCTTCCTCTTAGAAGGAAGTGACTTGACACTCGCTGCTCAAATCCCGGCCTATGCCTGGTCGACCGCCCTTCCTCCTCCTCCCACTGCCTGCTTGCTTTGTTTGGACCAGTCAAATGTAACGCCTTCACGCCCCCCTTCCTCTCATTCGACCCTCTTCCTACGATCTCTTTCTCCGATCTCTCCCTCCTCTGCTCCTCTCCTATGTTACCTTGCTCCCCCCTCTTCGTCCTCTCCTCTCCTCTCCTCTCCTCTCCTCGCTGCCTCCTCCGCTTCCTCCGGGAGCAGCCCGCGTGAGTTGTGGGAGCAGTACGTTCCTGTCACAGATGAGTGCTTGTTCCGAGGAGGAAGCGACTGTGTT